GGAGCCCGGGTGGGTCAGTTGGTTAAGCATCCAGCTTCAGCTCAGGTCATGATCTCGCGGTCTGTGAGTTTGAGCCCCGAATTGGGCCCTGTGCTGACAGCTCGGAGCCTGGAGCCTGCTTCGGATTCTGTGTCTCCCTCTCTCTCTGCCCTGCCCCCGTGCACCCTCATTCTCTCTCAAAAATAAAAAAATAGAAGGGGAGAGAAGTAGATCAAAAATAAAATAGAAAGAGGAAGGAAGGAAGGAAGAAAAGAAAAAAAATAGTTTTCCTGTATTTCCCTCGATGTAATTTGTATTTAGAAACGTCCCCTGCTTTTTTTTTAACTAGATAATAGGCTTACTCATTGGTATACATGTTACATATTCAGTAGACATTTGTGAGTTTCTCTCATTTGTGGATGGCATTAGTAGGTGAACAGGATGTTTGTGTTTAATAAACTAAAACTGAAGGAGAGGATTTGGTTTTCCAAGGGAAAAGTCAAGTGCAGTGTGTATTACAGGGAGAACTTGACTCTGTGTTAAATACCCATGTGTTGTTGGGTCTGTTCAAACATCAGATAAAGCTGACAGAAATCTGACAAATGTAAAGGGCCACGTCTTTAGGTCGTGTCATTATAGGCACACGGCCCCCACTACCCATTCGTCTGATTGTCCTTTGTCTTCTGTAGGTGGCAGAACTGGCGAAGCCATTGTAGATGCTGCTCTCAGTGCTCTGCGCCAGCTCGTGAAGGATCGCCTTGGGGGGAGGGGTGGTGGATATGGTTCTGGAAAACAAGTAAGACTGTGTGATGAGTTTGACGCCACAATATGGACTCTTTGTAGAGGATAGTTTTTGGGCGGGTTATTTTTGTTTTTTTTTGTTTTTTTTTGTAGTTACTACTAATGTTTTAAATTAGTGAACTTTCAGTTAAAAGATATTACAAGGTTGGATCAGCTCATGCCAGAGGGAATGAGCCACCTAGCTTGTTGATTTGGCCTCCTCAGAAGTCTCTAGTCCCAGAGCATCTGGCCACCACTATAGGCCAAGAATCAGGTCACAAGATGGGCTTCCTTGGCCCAGCACTGAAAGGGAAGAGTTTGGGCTGTAGACCTCTCGAGAAAGAGCTTCAGACCGGGAAGCCAGGCTCTGGGACCCTTTGGCATTTGTAGTTCCAGAGTGGGGAGAGAGAGACCAGATCGGCTTGGGGACAAAGAGAGATGAAATCTGAACGACCCCTTGGCCTATATCTGGCAATCAGCCTGAAATTTTGGAAAATTCAATCTCAGTGGACAGGGAAGAAGAGAAAAATTCCTGTTCCATGCATTGGTATTTTAGATGCCCATGTAGGAGATGTGAAGTTAACCAAATGTTCTTGTGAAAAGGCATTACATTCTTACAAATGAAGGTAAAATGGCCCTTCACTGTTACAGAGACCAGTAAAAGTAGCTTCTTTATACAGCTGTAGAATTTACCCGAAGATTCCATGCTCTTGGCTTTTGGCCCAGGCATCCGAAAGCAGTATAGTGAAACTGCTCCTTAGGTTTGCTACTCAAGAACACTCTTTGAAAATAAAGAATTAAATGTTACTTTTAGCTCTCTTGAATGGTAGAGACTTTCTCTATGGAAAGGTAGTAACTGGTTATGTTTAACATCCTGGGATGAGGAAGCAGCTGTGCCCAGTCGGAACTAGAGTAGAATCGGGTGGTTCTGTGAGCCGTGTGGGGGTTTCTCTTAGCACAACAGCAGGCGAGAGAATTCCGGAATATTCATAGCTTACACTGGAGGTGCTGGTGATTGAAAGTAAACACTGTTTGACAAGTGATAATATTAAGGAATGACCCCAAGTGGAGTAGAATGGTTTTCACTAGAAAGAAGAACTCCATACTTCGTTAAGATGCGGAAGAGATCGTTGTCTGTTATCTATTTAGAATAAGAATAGCGTTCTTTCTGGCCAAGTGTAACTAAATGTTTAATGTCACATGCGACAGGGTAGAGGTGAGAGTTCGAGTAAGAAGGATGTAATTGAGCTGACGGACGACAGCTTCGATAAGAACGTCCTTGATAGTGAAGACGTTTGGATGGTTGAATTTTACGCTCCTTGGTGTGGACACTGCAAAAAGTAAGGGCTTTTTACCAAGTATTTTGAGTCCCAGTGCTTTTTTTTTTTTTTTTTTTTTTT